TTTTTTATTTTCACCATTATCTATAATCAAATTTTCACCAAAGTTGACACTTTTACATTTAAAATAAACAAAAGTCCAAAATTCTATAACCCTTGATGTTCGTAGGAATAACACTCAATTTGGATATGGTGCAACTACTACATGTCAGGTACTGGGTCAGACCCTCCACACACAAGCAAGAACTGCATCTGTCTGGCTCCCTGAAATCTTAACCCTAGAGCTTACTTAGTACATGGCACATGCTCAATATTTGTTAAGTGAAAGGAAGGAGTGAAGCAAGGGAGGGAGCAAAAGAGGAACATACAAGTGAATGGATGGACAAACAATGAATGACTAGGACACATGGACAGATGAACAGATGGGTGGATGACTAAAAGGCAACTTGTGTGAAACTCCATTCATATGAAACTGTAAAAAGCAAGAAAGCAGCAGCCCCACCACCACCCAAGCTTGTCCTCCTACCCCTTCTGCCCACAGTTTTCCAATCAGGGACTGAAAACAAAAAGCCTACAGGATCTAGGCTGAGGATACTGACTGAGTTAGAAACACTGAAGTTGCCAGCTTCAATCTGTCCTTATAATATCACAAAGCCAGCAGGAATTCTGCGGAGGAGTTACACTTATTGTCACTGCAGCTTCTGCCAATAAGCAAGGCAAAAACTCCAAAGGATACAGCACATCTTTGCCAACCTCTCTTTCCTTTCTACATCCTTCTTCTGTGTGCTCCACACACAGAAGTCTTCATGTCACCTTTCTCTCTCCAAATTCCATCATCCTAGGATATTTCTTTAGAGTGAGAGATGTTAAGTGGAAGCCTTATTACCACTGAGTGTTGTTAATTAATTCAATTCAGACTAAGGTGTGAATGCTTAACCCTCCTACAGCATTATTAAATAAGATTATACTAACTCAAACAGTGTCAACTGGTAGATGTGGCAAGGAGGTAATTTCAGAGAAGAAATTTAGAAGCTAACCACTGTCTACCCTAGGAACCATCTTCTGCCTTTTCACATCCACTGGAAAATAACACCTTTACAACCCCAAGCCTGTCACACCTACCCCAAACCCCATTTACAAGCACTGCCACAACAAAACATTACACATCACTGATACCCTGCAGTCCAAACATATGAACGGTGTTGGGCGTGTGTGACCACGAATAATCCTATGAATTGTATTGTATAATATAATTATAAACATGAGATCATAGCATATAATATTTGTATGTTAGCACAGTGTTCTCCTTAAACTTCCAATTTTTCCATCTCCCCTCTTGCTTATATCATTTGGTTAGAAAGAAAAAAAGGGGGGGCCTTTAGTGGAACCCTTCTGATTCCCCAGTATCCTCACTCTTTTCTTCTCTGACACTTCCAGTGCCCGGGGCATGGTTCCCCTCACCTCCTCCATGCCCTTACTCTCTTGAGTGACCTCCTTTTTGCCATATCATCACCATCTCCCTTTCTCTGGCTTCCTACCACCAACACACATGCTCCAGTTTCCCTCATTCATAAACACAAACCCCTTCCAAAGTCTCCCTTCTTCCCTTAGCTGTAGCCTTAGTTCTATCCTCTCAACCTCCATTAAAAAGTAGTGCCTGCCCGCTGCCTATGTTCTCATTGGTCACATCACCTATATCCACCAAGGCCCTGATGGCACGGTTGCTATGTCCCAAAGATTTCCATTTGTATCCTACCTGACCATTACCTGATCTTTTCCTCCAGTCCCTCCTCCTTGAACTTCTACTGTTTACAGTGGCTTCCAGAGCACTCACAACTTCCTCCTGCCTTCCTACTCTCTCTCTGCTCACTAGTCCCATGGTCCTTGATCCTTGCAAATTAAGTCGAATGCACTACCTGTTCATGGTCTTGTGTGCTTCCTATCATCACATTTCATTCTTATTGTTCATTCTATTTTATGTCTACCCTGCTAGACCCTACAATCTCTGACAGAAGGGTTTCTGTATCCTGCCAACCACTACAACCTGGAGCCCAGAAGAATGCATGGCAGAGAGAAGCCTGGTTAAAACAAAATTTACAGACAGATAGATAGATAGACAGACAGACACATCCCCATTTTACAAAGGAAGAAATAATAGCAGTCCAGCTACATACAGGGCAGACAAGGGACTCTTCCAATGTCCTCTGATTTCAAGTCTGATGATCTTTCCAAGCTCCTGATTCCAAAGCTATAGACTTCCTTTGGAAAAACTTGTTTCTACTTATATTGCAACTCACTGATCTCTGAAGAAGGAAATCTTTTCACTTTTTTTAGGTGTGTCTTGGGAAAACTCAACTTTACTCCTCTGTAAGAGACTCACTATTCCTGCCTTGATCATCCTTGGTTATAAACCATTTTAAAGCCATCTAATAGTCTCAACCAAGTGCAAAATCACAAAGATCAATGATGGAAATGATTGTAAAGGATTTAGAAGCAGCTCTACCAAGCAAAATTCCATATGCACATAGTGACTACTACACATTCTGATCATGACAAAGCCAAGGAATCTGGAAAAACTACAACACATATCACATTTTAAAGAAAAAGTCCTAGCACTGTTCATAAGGAACCAGGCTGAGTCAGAAAATAAATTCCTCAGTAATTTAAAATCAAAAGAGGAGGGCCCGGGAATTTAGCTCAGTGGTTCTGCCACCTGTCTCACAAGCACAAGGTCCTGAGTTCAATGCCTGGTACAAACAAAAAAAATCAAAAGAGCAATGTACATCTAAGCAACACATTCCAAATGAACAATGTGATCAACTACTACACACAGTTTTGTGTACATTAATTTTATTTTAATTTTTACATCAGTGTGTATCATTCTTTCTTACAATGAAGTCTGTCAGCACCATTTTTGGGGGGTTTCCTAACTGAACATCTATGAAGGAGTTCATAAAAACATATCTGCTTCCATTTTATACATCAATTTGAGGAGAATTAATATATATAGAAAGTGAATAGAGGCATATCTTTATATCAAACATTGTTATGGGATTTATATAAAATCAAAGTTGACTGAAATAACACTTTACATAGAAATTAAACAGTGCTGCAATGTAAGTTGAAATTTTCACATACAAATCTGACCTACAAAATGCATTTTCATGTCACTCACTGATCTAACCAAGAGTCCACAGTTCAAAGCCTACATTCAGACACTCCGTATCATTTAAGTCCTTTTCAGCGTCTAAGTTTGATACTTGAGCCTATCTGTTTTGCTTTGTAAGAGTAAAAACCAAAATGTGTTCTTCATGCCTCACCTCCAGCCCCCAGCCTTTCTGTCACGTCTGCCATGTCACAGAGCAGTTTTCCCAAAAGCTAAGCATATATATACCTTGGTCTCTGTGTCTCTTCATGGCCAGCACTTGCACTATGACTCCCAGCTCAAATGCATCTTACTTTCTAGAGGGTTAGTAATGAGCATTAAATTGACCTCATCTTCCTGGTGTCCTAAACTAAGTTTGTGACTGCTGACTGGGATCTCTTCCCTTTACTGGACACCTTCTCATGCCAACTACCCCGGGGGAAAACTGATCTCTTCCTTCTAGCTTCTCATACACATCAGTGGTACAGTCCAAGCAGCTAATTGCAATATATGCTTAAGTAGAGGCAAACCATCCTCCTGGCCTGTCCTAAAACAAATTAGATTCTCGAGCAGGTTATCTCATTTGCCCCCTTTACTGCGAGATAACAGATGGATATTACACTTCTAATTTTGCACAAAGCTTTCACCTAAGCTTCCTTAACCCCAGCCATTGTGACCTTCACTTAAGACTCAACTGTAGAGTCTAAACCAACCCAAGGACTCAAGGCACCCGTGTGACACTTAGATCATCCCCATTTCCCCATCAGGGTGATGTGTTGGCTGTCCCTGCCAGCTGAATATTCTTGCCATCATTTTCTTCCCTGGCTTCTCCAAGTCTTGATTTTCAAACTGAGGCATTCCTTTCCCATAGCACTCCAGCCAACCCTGAGGGTTACCTGTGCTTCTCTGCCTAGCGAGGACTCCACTGAGATCTAAACTGAGGGGACGCAAGGCCAGAGGCAGAAAGCAGGCTGTTGTGAAACAGCATTTTCTGTTACTTAATTATTCAAAGCCCACTGTGCATTTCAACCTTTCTCACAGAGCAGCTGTCAGAACTTACACACTTACACACTTACACACACACACACACACCCCATGGAGAATTTCTCTTTAGGGACTAAAATGCCACTTCCATGTGCTATGTCCTCCTCTCCCAAATGCATGTCCACTCGAACCTCCTAGAAGTCACAGTTGTACCTGCTTCATCTCTTCTGGATGAATTCTGACCCTGGGGCCTCCACAAAAGCCCTGTGGCCCTGTTATCTGTGACATCTTCAGCACCTCATTACCCCCAGAACTCTTAGGCTTATGGAACGTGTCTCGAGTGGACCCACACGTGTTTTGTGTTTCAGTGATTCCCCACCCCCACCCCGCCCAGGACGTTCAGGTTAATGGTGCACTTCTCAAATCTGCAGCAGCGCTAGGATTCGGTTATATGGAATCAAGAGCAATGGGGCCCGATCTGATGAAAGTTCACTAATTTCCCTTGGGAGTTTCTCAAAACAAAAAAAAGAAAAGAAAAGAAAGAAAAAGGGAGGTCGAAAATAACGGAGGTAACTGTGAAGCCTTTTTTTTTTTTTTTTGCCCTACCCTTCAGACCCAAACACTGTTACCCTACCACGCAGACGTTAAGAATTCCATTTGGCCACAAATCCAGATCCTTAACAGGTGAGCCCCCAGGGACTGCACTGAGACTTGGTCCTAGTTTGAACTTCGTATCTGGGTGCGGGATCTTGTCTTGCCAACCACAGATGACACCAACAAGAAGGAATAAAGAGACAATACAGACAGAAAACCAAGGAGAGTCCCAAACACCCTAAGCATCCTGGACTCCCCGTGGCTGCCACGCCCAAGCGAAAGCGACCTGGCCTCCTCCCCTCCCGCGCGCGCTCCAGACCGCCCGGGCGGCGCACCCTTACCTTGCGGGAGTACGGGGGCTTGCTCAGGTGGATGCCGTCACGGACGAGCTTATCCCTGATCATGATCTTCAGCTTGAGTTTAGGGTAGCTCACCAGCTCCCTGCTGCGGGGGGCGGTGGTCTGGGCACGAGGGTCCCCGCGGGTGCCCTGGGACGCGCCGCAGCACGGCTCCCCCCGGCGGCCGGCGGGGACGGAGTCCACGGGCGACGCGGACTGCGGCTCAAGGGTGAAGTAGAGGCCGGCGGCGGCGGCGTCCTGCTCCCGCAGACGGCGCACGGCCTCCAGGACGCGGCGGCGGTGCGCGGGCGCCAGCACCCCGATGGCATCCAGGTCCGGGTCCCCGATCTGCTTGCACACCTCCAGGTCATCGTAGCCGTTATCCACGAAGGACTCCGCGTACTGCGGGAGCTGCAGCGCTTTCAGCCACTCGTAAACTATGTTGGTGCACATGCTGGGGCCGGGAACCCCGCCGGCGGACACCTCCCTTCACCCGGGAGGCACCAGCTCGCGGAACTTTGACTCCTTCCTCGAAGGGGGAAATGAAATCACAGTAAAGTTTTCCTGCTAAAGAAACACTCAGGCCAGAGACCCGAGCCTTCAGAAGCGGCGAGAGAGGAGAACGTTTGCACTCACCAAAGTGAATCCCAGAGCATCCGCGAGCTCGCGGCGCGGGTCTGGGCGAGCGCTCCGCGGCGCGCCGCCCCTGGATGCGCAGCCGCGGGGGAGGGGCGCGGCGCCGCGCGGGGCGGGGCAGGCGCACCTCTGGGCGGGCGCGCGGTCAGCGGGGTGCCCCTGGCCGGGACGGTGCCCGGGCTGCTGGCCTCATCGCGCCGTCCGACCGCCGCGGCCGGCGACTGCATGCGAGTCCCGCGCTGGGGAGGCGGCTCCTCGTGGCCCCCGGGAGCGCCGCTTCTTCACCAGCGCCGGTCACCGTCGTCCTCCCCGCGAGGTGCGGGTGGCTTTGAGGGTGGCAGGCTCCAGGGGCTGGCTGCCTCGGGTGGCTTTTGACATTTCTTTTTAATCGGACTTCTGCAGCCCGTGGAAGTCTCTGCGCTCACCTCTTCCTGAGCCTGTCTGACGCCAGTGCTGCGTGCCCAAGGGCACGGCCCCGCCACCCCACAGGGCTGGGCGAGGCTGCGAGGTCAACGTGGCTGCGAGGTCAACGTCCCTGCGCGCAGATAGGTCCGCGTTGAGTCCTCCTTCCTCGGAGCCCACGCTCACGCTGCAAGCCGGCGATCTGGCTGCTTCTGTGGTCGCCTGAGCTGTGCCCCGAGCGGCGGCACTTCGGCGGGCGGGTGGGTGCGACTTGGGGACAGCCCGCGTCCAGCCCCTCCTCGCCACAGCTGGGCGCGCGGCGTGGCGGGGAGGCTGCCGCTGCTCCGGCCCGGCGCGCCCTACCTACCGCCCCAGACCTGCGAAAGTTTGAGATGGGTTGTACTTTCTCCCTGGCGAAGGCATCCCGCCTGGTCCCCTTTCCTGCTTTCTGCCAAGCAAGACCTTTATGGGCCCTACGCTTTCTCTCCGGTGTCCCCGCCCTGCACTGGGCCCGGGCACGAGGGTAGTTCAGCCTCTGGGAACGCGCGAGGCGCTCAGTCCCGGGGTCGGAGCTGGGTCTCCTGCCCCAGGATCCCGTGCAAAGCAATACTGTGCACCACCGTGTAGCTGGATTCGAGGGGACGGCAGGACAGCTCTTCCCGCGGCACTTCCTTTCCAGACAGTAACCAAATCAGCCGCCTTTTCCCGTGGTACGGTTCAAGGCCAGAGCAAGCTTCTGGGGTGGGAACGCGAGCGGCAGGTGGAACAAACCGCGCTGCCGGTGTCTGACCTCCTGTTGGGGGAAAGGGAAGCGAGCAGCCCTGGAGACAAACGCTCTCTCTTCCCTTTTCGCAGAGGTGCGATTCAACTTCACATCTGGACTATTTCAGGACCTGACCCAGACCCTTTTTCTGAAGAAGTCCCGTGGGGCGTGCCTGCCTCCCGCCCCGACCTCGGGAGGTGAACAAGTGGCGATTCAGGGTCTGGCGCGCGTTTGGCTCCTGAGAGTGTGGTCTTTCCTTCGCTATGTCAATAGAGCTTACTCCCTGTTGAAACACAGACCCCTTAAAAAAAAATCAGATGATGCCGAAGAAAATACCCGAAGGGGGTGCAGCCCAAAGGCTCCCTGCAGTTCAAGGGGAACCCGGGTTCTCTAGCTCCGGACCCGGGAATCTCAAATTCAAAACACCTTCCAGAAAGGACCCTATCTGCCGTATATTCCTGGGGAGAGGCACGCGTGACTGTTTCTGAGGCTGCTGGCGGCCCCAGCACCGGTCACCCAGGCCCCCCCTTTCTGAAGCCCTAGCTAAGGTCGTGCACTCTGGTAAGGTGCAGGGCGCCCAGGCGCTGGGATGCGGGACGAGACCAGGGCCGCGCTCTTTCCATCGCCAAAGCAGGTGCACAGTGCCCCCTCGCGTCGGTGCCGGGGAATTTTAAGGCGTTGTCCAGGTGCTCCAGTCGCGCGGAAGAAAGTAAGCTTTATGACTATCCATTAGCTCCCCGCCACCTTTTAAAAATATAGATGTTTATATCACGTTTGTCTCTATCCCAACGCTCCCTCATAAAGGCTTTTGATATTTAAAAAGAAAATGTTCCCGTAGTAGTTTGAATTATGCTGCTGTGAAGCAGGTTATAAGCAAATATTTATTGGGAAATCAGTAATATGCCAAATACCTATACATCTCTATCTGTATACCTGTCTGTATATCTATCTATATACCTACTTATCTCTCGGTATGTGTATATATATATATATGATAAGTAGTATATTATTCAATATCTTACAGAAGAAGAAACAAACTTCACAGCAGTAATTTGCCCAAGGTGTCAGTGATCTCAGCAGAGCAAGAGGAAATAACTCAGGGCCACCTCCCAACTGTCCTTCACCGTTGCCAGTGCATACTGTGTAATACACAGAGCACTCTGCCTTTATAGACGGAGAGGCTTCAAACTCAAGGGTTTTTCCCTGTTTTTTTCTTTCCCAAGTTGTGTGAAAAGTCCAACAGTACTATTTAACAGTTCTTTACTTTCTTATACATGGCCTCTTCCCCTCGGGGAGCTTGAGGAGATTCATTGTCTCATTAATCTTCAGGAGAGGCAGTGAGTATTTTAATTTCCATTTTACAATTAGAGAAACTGGTTCGGAGGACGAATAATGACTTGCCCAAGGTCATATAGTAAATCAAGACAGAGACAAGAACAAGCCTGTCTTGTCGGAGTATCTCCCAACAGGCAGCAGTGACTCTCCTTTATTTATGTGCAAAGAACCATCCAACTAGGAAATAAGGCATCCTGTGATCTCTGGAGGGGAAGCCTCTTAGAAGTTAATCATTTGCTAATCTGTCATAAATAAAAACCTACTCACTTTTGACCTTGAGGAAACTTGGTGCCTAGAGACTTCTCTAGCCTGAGTGATGGAGACCTTTCTTTTCTGGATTCCCCTTCTACTTCTCCCACACTTGCTCAAGTCTTCCATGTGTGAACCCCCAGGCCTTCTGTCATTCTTCCGCTGACCTTAGTATTTGGAACCTCTTCCTAAATTTCATTCTAGAGGCTACTATGTCTAATCACAAATGCAGGACAGCGTGTGTCTGTGTTTCCCGTAGAGACACATAGCTGAAATCCACAGTGAACACTGGCAAGAACAATGACTGGCTAATTTTAAGATTCAAAACTGTAGACTTTTAGAGCTGGAAGGCCATTCCATATTGTCTCTGGCATCCAGATTTACATAGAGGAATCAGAAGCCCAGGAAAGCTAAGTTACCTACCAAAGGTCCCATGTCCGGTACAGGACAGGATTAAGACAAGAACCCGGTCTGGTTCTCACCTTACTCTTCGAGGTGAGGTGCCCTGCATTACCTTATCTTCACCATGAGCACCCCGCTGCTATCAAACTCAGTCAGTTACTCCTCAGATGTTCATTAAGCAGACATTGCAAGTCCAGGCACTGAAGCAGAAAGAGAAGAGTTTTTCTTCGTTAATTGGAACTAGAGAGATTTCAGCATATGAAATATATAAGAATAAACTGACAGCTTTTTTATATGTTAAAGAATTGTGAAGATTACAAAGGTACAAAGATGCTATTTTCTTCTATTTTTATTATTATCCAAATTCTGTAAATCACAAGATTAGGCCAAATTTGAAACTGAACTTTATTGAACATCTAGACAAAAATGTACATTAATAAGTAACTGCCTGTCATGACCCTAGTAACAACCTTAAAACACCAAATTAATTTACCCAGCACACACTGTGGTACACAGATAACTGTAAATTGTTGAATAATAATGCTTTGTTAAAGATTCTTTTCTTTAAATAAAAAACTTTGAAACATATACCAGGCCAATTATTATTGAATATGATTGGGGTCAGACTTCTTTTGACAGAAAGGACTCCTTCCTTGCCTACTGAAAAGCACTGGGAAAACAGCTTGTGGAGAAAGTATCTTTCTTTGCACTATTTTGGAACTGTTTTGTGATAATAATAACTATGGCAAAATGTAAAGTTAACACTGACCCTCTCTGAGTAATTAATTAATCATTATATGCAAGTTTTAAATTCTAAATATTGAAAAACAGCCTTTTTGCTTTGCTCAGTGATTTGATTTGAGGTTACAGAGTGAAAAATAATTTGTTTTGAAATTTTCTTGGTGCTGCATAAGGTTTCATACTATTTTATTTAGAAGATAAATGTTCGCATCTAGTGTGTATAAAAATCAAATTCCATTAACATCTATTAAACATCAGTCCCCAGGGTGTCTAGCTTGTAAAAGTCAAGGTTATATAATATTAACCCTAAAATACTAAATATGCCTCACCTCTTTTAACCATGAGCTACAAAGCATCAAGAAAGAACATGTGCCACAGGAGGAAACGAGAATAATGGACTTGAGTGATGGAACAGGCAATCTGTTCTCCAGTGGCTGGGAGGGAGGCATGGGGCTGGCACCTTAATTAGGGGCAAGGCAGGTGGGGGTGTCTGTTAATATGCCTGAGCTGTAGACATTGCATTTGTGTGTGATAACACATACATGAAAGAAGGAGAGACAAGGAGCAGTAGGGAGTACCAGCAGGATGCCATTAGATTATTCATTGCTGTTATAACAGGCTTTTCTTTCTTTAAAGAAGAAACAAAGGGAGTAAAATGTGTGTTCTAGAAGTCATAGACTTGGAGGTCACTAATAGAAACAGTGCCAAGCAAGATACTGTATTAGTGAAAAAAAAATGAAAGGAGATTCATTTAAAAACTCTTATCTTCTCATCTCTGATAATCTCCAGAAGTTGTATATCTTGATATGCACCCAAGAAGAGAAGGCAAAGATGAATCTAGTGTTTCCTGGAGGTAAAAAATGGTTATTGGCCCAATATTTTATTAGATAAAAATAGATAACTCTTAGAAGTACCTCTTTCTTTCTGCCCTTTATTTCAAGTTAGAAAATTTAACACATAAGAAACACGTTGTGCAACCTTATACAAGTGAAATGATATTGATAAAAGCTATTTCGGACAAGTACAAGTTACTTATACATATAGTCACAACAATGAAATCACTCACTTTGTGACCAGTTGTCCAACTTGAATAAGCAATAATCATTCCCATCTAAGGTTTTTCTTTCCATTTAGGAATTGGGACAAGTAATTCCATGGCACCTA